ACGACCTAACGCCGAAAGGCCACAGGCTTGGGAACGCGAAGAGTGTATGCAAAGTTTGACTACCCGAGTGGCAGCGGCAGGTATTGCATACCAGCACAGCCTATACATGAACTCTACCGGCAAGAGGGCACAATCTAACGAGACCCAATTTGGGAGCGTCTGTTTCGAAAGCCATGTCTGAAGACATCTAGCTGCTGCAAGCTGCTGGCAGAACAACATGTTCAAACGCAGTGCCCGAATGGAGTGCGGACCCCCACGTCTCTAGTTTTTCACATGTACAAGCTGCCCACCCTCCATCGGGATGCGCAAACATGCTGCCTCTGTCCTACCTCCACTAGCAAGGAACAACAAACTTCCCGGAGGCGAATGGGGCGGCGGTGGGCAAATTGAAACTGGCAGCTACCTGACACCTAGCCTAGCCTACCTAACAGGCCCTGACTCTGGGCAGAGTTAGGGCCACAAGCTCCGGCAATTACAAACTGAGAACTGTACACCTAAACATGAGACGCTTCAAGTGCTACGCTTCGCTCCGCACAAGCCCGCATGCCGAACATGCCCTGTCTGACGCAAAGCTGTTGCAGGGCCAGACACAACCATAGCTTCAAATTGCGGCTGGGACCACGCCAAACCCTAGCTGCAGGTTGCGAGGAAGGGGAAGCCTACAGAGCTTATGGAAGGCCATGTAATGCACGTGTGCATGTTAGGACAAGCAGCAGCTGGAGCGCGCGTGCGTTTACTTGTTTGCGTGTGTAGCCGCTACAGTTCGAGAACGAAAAGGTGCAGGAAGGGGGTTTGCCAAGCACCCACCTCTCCCACCCTGCGAAGACGCGCTGTTCGGTGGGAGGTCCCAAGGGCCTCGATCCGTCAGTGCTGAGTGCACCGAGCAGCAGATGGGACGAGGCAAAACTGTCGGCTCTGCGTTTGCTCTTGCACTTGTGTTTGTAGAAGTGAGGGATTGCGTTTTGTGTGCGTGGAAGCTAGGCTTGTCCTTGCCCAAAACACAGCGACAGCAGTTGCCCTGGAAACAATGCACTGGATAATCCAGGGCGACAAAGGCAGGCAAGCCTGTAGACGCACCGTGAGGCAGCATGTTCAACACATGGCCATTATGCACACCACCAAGCGGGTGGGTGCTGCCAGAGAACACCCCTGGCCTGGAGGATGCGGACTACCAGGATGCCTACTTTCACGACTAGACTCCAGCATGGGGTCACTTATGGGGCCATGCGGGCACCCATTATGCGCATCATCATGCTACCAGGATCCTTGCTTTCACGACTGGACTCCAGCACGGATCCGAGCGCCGCACCAGAGAAGCAGCAGGATGCCTCAGAACCTCACTCCATACACCTTCTTGAAGCTACCGACGCAGTACATCCTGCAACGGCTGATGTGGACCTGTACTACAACAGGGCAAAAGAGATAGGCAGTAAAGTAAGAACCCTAAAGCGCCAGGGAAACAGGGCGGGTAACTCTAGGAGTGGCAAAGGCATGCGGTGAAGCACGACACTTTCCATATTGAGGCACAGAACAGGATCCAAAACGTGTCACGCGCAGAGAGGAACAATAACTACACACACATGTAGCAAGAAGAGCTGAGCATGCACAGCGCACTCTCCATCTTTTTTTAACCGGGTTGGCTCAAATCTCGCGGACATGCAAGCATCCAGCAGCGGTCGCTGGACAAGCACCCCCCGGGCGGGCGGGCGGGAAACAAAAATTTCACTGCAGCAACACCTGCAGCCCATCGAGCAATCACACTCGACCAAATCCTCCCTGACTTTTCAACACTGCTGGAAACCAAATGCAAGAGCGCACACATGCAGCAAGCAAGCACTCGACACTCGCGGATCCCACTTCATGCCCTAAAGTGCACCCCGCCTGTCACTGAGTTCCCAAACGCGAGAACCCGCCCTGGCGCTTCCAATGAGGTTCAATCGCCATACGCAGCCTGCAAGGCAATTGCCCACACACGCACACTTGGCAGCAGACCGCTTGCCTTGAACGACGGCCCTTACGGCAGAGAAAAAATCACCCCAGGCACCATTGAGTTGGCTGATGAGCCGGGCCAACCTTGGGCAACCTCACCTCCGGACCTGTGAACACCTTGCAAAAGGTTACACGGGATGCTGCAGCAAACGAGGACCTCATCTTGCCTACTTGGAAAAGCCTCACCACTGCGTCTGTGGTGGTCGAGGCGGTGGCAATACTTGCTGAGGAAAAGACTGCACACCCTGGCTTGTATGAGTGGCCCAAGGCATATTTAGGAGGGTCTACAGCAGTGCCAACTGGCACGTTTTTGCGAGGCCCCAGGGCTTCACACAAGAGGTGGATGAAGGGTGGCATCTGGAGCCACCATTCGTCTGTGCTAAACTGCGCCTGCAAGCCTGAACACCTTGGCCACACGCAGTGGCAAAACCATTGCTGCCATACGCAGCACTCGGTTCCTTGGCAATCGATTGAGCTGCACCAAGCAGCACGCATTGCGCAGCATGAGCTTCGGTTATGGCTGTATCGACTGATTTGAAGGTCGACCGCGCAACCCTTGCGGCAGTTTTCGGCTGATTTGAAGGTCGACCCCACGCTAGGCATGCTTAGATATGTGAAAAAGTTCGTGCCAGCCTTAAACTTTACACAGAACCAAGCTTCGTGGCAAACCGTGCTGTAGAGATTGCAGCGATTGCCCTCCAGGGCATAAGCACCACCACCCTGTTGATTTCTTGAGGTTTTGGTAGCTTTCCGAGTTTGGCAAGTGACCACGCGGTCAAACTTCAGGAACACCAATCCTTACGCAGTATTTAGTAATCCTCTTCGATCCTCATGACAAGGTCTTGAGAAGTGAATTGTGGAAAGCATGCTGCAAGCCGATTTCAGCTACAACACGGTAAGAGCATGTTGACATGCCCGGGAATGTAAGCATTCTTGATGAGCTGCAACATCCTACACTCCTGAGCGCAAAGACCCTCCAAAAGAGCCCGTATGCTTGAACAAGACATTATGTGGAGATCTGTTTCCCTAGTGACGGTAGCTATAAGAAGGACCGGATTGTCGGGTTTGAGTTTAGCCGGCCAAAAATTTGGGTTACAAAAATTTAACCCGAAAATCCATGACTCAAATATATCATCCGAATCGCCACGATACACAAAATCTTTTATTCAGGA